CCTCCATCTTTTTATATATTCCACAAAATCATCACTGCGGCACAGTCACGACTGTCTGCATGCCGAACGCATGCCGAGATCGAGGCGCATAGGCATAGCTCTCGCTTCGTCCGTTTGTATGAAGTTGGAATACTGTATTGGATAAAATTACCGTGGTACAGTCTTAATTTTAAAGAACTTTTTATAAATTTTTATTGCACAGACTTTCACCATCATTCTTTGTACAATAATTATTTTATTGCTTTCAAAATTTTTATTTTCAAAATCACTCAACGTATTTTACGGTGATTTATCATATACCCTGTAGCTACTCGAGCGCTGTTGTGAATGGTTTTTTAAATGTTATTTACTGCTTACAGATGGACACATTTTCAACTATTCTCCTACGAGAGCTTGGCCTCCTTACCTCTTTATTCCATGGGAGTATACTAAAAAGTATGGAGTGTAGAGGTAAGGTGTACAGACTGTATAAAAAAGTGTCCGTAGGAAAGCGTTAAATAAGGGTGGCGCCACTGTAGGTACGGTTTAAATTTTAAAGAATTTTTTTAAACTTTTATATTGCACAGACTTTCACCATAATTCTTTTACAATAATTATTTTATTGTTTCCAAAATTTTTATTTTCACAATCACTCAACGTATTTTACGGCGATTTATCATTCCCTGTAGCTACTCGAGCGCTGTTGTGGAGAGTTTTTAAACTGTTATTTACTGCTTACAGAAGAACACATTTTCAACTACAGTAAAACGACGATTATCCGAACGTCGATTAACCGAACGACCGCTTAACCGAACTGTTACCTCGGCACCTCATTGGGATGTGACCACGTTTTCGCTTCTCCACGCCTGTGGCACGTGTTGCCCTACGTTCAGTGCCGATAGCGTTATACGCTTATGTGTTAATTTTGCGCTATTAGTTCACAATTGAAAATACCTAAACGCAAACGTATTGTTCTTTCCATAAAGGATAAATACGAGATTAACAAACGATTAGAAAAAGCCGAATCTGCAACTAAATTATTTAAGAAGTACAAAGTGGTTAAGTCGACAATTACGCATATAAAAACCAAAAGACGACCATATCCAATTTTATAAACATGATTTTACCCATGGGTCGACAAGTCGTTAAACTATGAAGCTCGCCACGAACATCGATCTCGATTACGCTGTTTACAAGTGATTTACAGAAAAAAATCACAAGGAGAACCTATCTATGATGCCGTTCTGTGTGAAAAGGCAAAACATTAAATGAAAAACTTGGAGGGCCGTCGAATTTTCAAGCAAGCAAGTGAGGGCATTCGTGAGCTTCAAATGCTGTGGACACTTCCTCTGGTATTCTGATGGGGAGACCATACGGTGGAGTAGCTATTCTCTGGAAGAAGGGTTTGTTCGACTGTGTATCGGTCATAGAATGTTCTAGTAAGCGGCTAGCTGCCATCAAGGGTGTAGTAGGGGATAGATCCATCTTGGTATTTTCTGTTTATATGCCGACTAAGTCGGATAAAACTTACCTATTTTTACAGAAATACTAAGTGAAATAAGTGCAATTGAAGCTAGTAACAACGTGGAGAATATGTATATACGAGGGTGGATTGAAAAGTACTCGGCCTAACCAAGAAAATAAACACATACTAAATCAGTTATATTTTTATTTTTCTACATAATCACCATCAAGTTCAATACACTTTTGCCACCTCCCCTTCCAAGCATTTAGATCGTTGAAAAAAAAATGATTCTTCCTTAGAGTCAAAATACGCGTCTACAGCTGCTTTGACCTCGTCGTTTGTCGAAAATCTTTGACCTCCCAAGTGCTTTTTTAGGTTAGGGAACAGAAAGAAGTCTGATTGTGCCAGATCAGGTGAATACGGCGGATGCGGTAACAGTTCAAAGCCACAGTTGTGAATTTCAGCCATTGACTGTACTGACGTGTGAACACGGGCGTTATCTTGATGAAACAGGACTTTTCTTCTGAGCATTCCTCGACGTTTTTCTTTTATTTCCTCTCGTAAACGACGTAGTAAGGTGAAGTAGTAATCATAGTTTAAAGTCTGACCCCTTTCAAGATAATCAATCATAATCACACCTTTCGAGTCCCAGAATACTGAAGCCATCACCTTATTTGCCGACAAAATCGACTTAGCCTTTTTAGGGGTGGTGAACCAGGTCTTCTCCACTGTTTTGATTGTTGTTTTGTTTCCGGTGTACAGTAATGAACCCATGTTTCGTCCATAGTAACAAAACGATTCAAAAAATCATCTGCATCGGCTTCAAATAACTCCAAACAGTCGCGTGAAATAGTCAATCGCGTCCTTTTTTGTTCAACTGAAAGCAGTCGCGGAACCCACCTCGCAGACACCTTGTGGAAACCCAACTCGTTGACAATGATGTTTTGAGTTCGTTCATAAGAGATGCCTATAATCTCGGCTATCTCTCTAATTTTTAATCTACGGTCTCCCATTATTAAATCAAGTACTTTTTTAATATTTTCGTCAGTAGTTGACGTCGAAGGCCTTCCAGAGCGGGGTTCATCTTTCACACTCTCTCTACCACGCTTAAATTCTGCTATCCATTTTTTGACGGATGAATATGACAGAGCACAATGGCCTAATGTACTGACCATGTCATCATGGATGGCTTTTGATGATAGCCCCTTCTTATGGAGGTACTTAATGACGGCACGCTGCTCGATTTGCTCCATTCGCGGAAATTATGTCCGATTACTTTGTTAATAAATTTATAAAATCACAACTAATTATCGCACACGTTTCGAACTTCACACAATGAACTAGTCTGAACTGAACTAAATAATGTGGGTAGATTTGATTTTTAGAATTGAATGGATCTGTGTTAGGCCGAGTACTTTTCAATCCACCCTCGTATTAGGAGATTATAATGCACATCCCGAAGAACTTTTCTACACCGAACTAAGTCGTTTCTGTACGGATCAGTCTTGGATATGTGCCGATGTACAAATACTAGGGTCAAATACGTATACCTTTCTAGACCAGTGTCATGGTGGTACGAGGTGGCTAGACCACTGTGTAAACCAAAACCGAATGATGATGAGTGAAAAACCGAAAAAAAACCGAAGGCCTTTAAGGCCGCCGGTAAGTGTCCTGAATTTATACCTCCAATTTGCCTCGGTGGAGTGGAGCTGAACAGAGTTATCCAATTTAAGTACCTGGGCCACATACTTACCGACGACCTTAGAGACGATTTAGACATAGAACGGGAGCGTAGGGCTTTGGCGGTCGGTGGTAACATGCTGGTCCTTAGATTCACTCGTTGTACGGATGAAGTCAAGATTACGCTTTTTAAACCATTTTGTCAAAACATGTACACGAGCGGTCTGTGGATCAGCTACAACACCTTCGCGTCCAGTATAATAATATCTTCAGGATTATGTTGAAACTTCCTCGTTTCTGTAGTGAATCTGAAATGTTTGCGCAGGCGAGAACGGATGGTTTTCAGGCACTCATGCGCAAGAAAGTGGCGTCACTAATAAGCCGCGTACGAGGAAGTGACAACAGCATCCTGAGGACGGTAGCTGATGATCCACATGCACCTATTTTAAAGAGCTATGTGCGGACAATGTCCGGATTCGTAAATTATTTAAATTAAATTATTATTATAATATAGTATTACTAACCCCATTACTATTAGAATTAATTACTAACCCTTATGGATCTATGTTGTCTGAAAATAAAAAGATTTGATTTGATTTGAAATACAGGGAGAAAAGCTATCTATTGGTTCTTTAGCATCTGATTCTTTCAAAATCAAATAAAGTGACGTATTAAAACTAGAAAATTATGTTTTATAAATAGTTTACAATCCTGACAAAACTGGACTCAATCGGAAGGCTTTGCCACGAAAAACTCTTGCCTCGCGTCGTAAATTAGCGGCACCTTGTGTAAAATAAATACTCGTTATAATGCTCTAGCTTGTATTACAACTGTAACAGATTATATTTATATTACATAATTTAATATTACGAGTATAAATATGTTTTTATTAGTGTATTGGTACATACAATAATACAGTTAGATTATCCGAACAAACCGGTTTGCCGAACACCTATGTCCCCCAATTAATTCGGTTAATCGACGCTCTACTGTATTCTCCAATGAGAGATTGTCCTCCTCTCTTAACTACATGCTAAAAAGTCCTCTCGTGGCAGTTAGAGTTTTGGCGGGAACTTGGCCGTCGACGTATTGTCGCTCCTGTTTTGTCGCTTGAATAATAGTTTGAAGTGGAATTTGATTTGTAAAAGTGGCGCGATTTTGTGAATTAAGTGTCTGCGTGTGTGAACTATTAGAGAAAACGACGGAAAAATTGCTTTGATGTTGATAAAATCTCAAGTTATTTTGATCGCTTGGGCGCCTTAAGAACTTCAGTGGCTGTCGTCATCAACGATCTGCTGGGTTGAGCTGTCGTCGAAATCTTCCAAAAGCTTCGCAATGTGACGCGTCAGCATGTTGTGAGGAAAAAATATATAAAAAAGAAGGTTACGAAAGAAATGATAGGCTCAGAAGAACTAGAACCCAGAGCCGAAAAGCTAATTAAATAAAAAATAAATAAATCGTGGCAGCCATTTTATAGAACCCACGTTGTCTATGGCCTGAGCCAAAGAAAGGTGAAGCTAAACAAAAGGGTAGCATGTAGATAGCGTTTATTAAAATTAAAAATAAAATATACTTAAGGAATTTACTCATTAAACGTAAATATAAATTATGCCTAAGTGAATTTTACAGATGTAGTACGTGTGTATGATATAAGTTATTAAACTGAACCACAATGCATCGTGTAATGGTGGCCATTAGGAGTAATAATTATGTATATTGGCATACTTACCACTTTACGGACCATAAAAAATACATCTAAAAAGAGACTGTAACGTGTTCGTTCAGAATTGACACTTAACATAATGTAAACGAACGAATTGTTAGTGATATGTGAGTGAAAGAAAATTGCCCAGTGTAAATAGTCCATTTGATTACCATGGCCCAGAATCAAGGGGAGGTTCAAGTGGGAACACCGAATCAACCCGTGAAAGATAAGGATATTTATGCTTGCTTGCCCGAAATTCGTGTGAGTGGTCCGCTAGGACCTGATGATCCCTGTCCTGGAGGCGAAGAATTACGTTGGCTGCCAGCGCAAGCAACAGATCGAGATCTTGTTATGTATTTACGAGCCGCACGTTCAATGGCAGCATTTGCAGGAATGTGTGATGGTGGCTCCCCAGATGATGGTTGTGTAGCTGCTAGTCGTGATGATACTACAATCAATGCACTAGATGTTCTTCATGACTCTGGTTACGATCCTGGGCGAGCGCTTCAAGCATTAGTTAAGTGCCCAGTCCCCAAAGGTATAGAGAAAAAGTGGTCTGAAGAGGAGACAAAAAGATTTGTCAAGGGTATTCGTCAGTTTGGTAAGAATTTTTTTAAAATTAAAAAAGATTTACTACCCCATAAAGATACATCAGAATTAGTTGAATTTTATTATTTGTGGAAAAAGACTCCTGGTGCTAGCAGTAACCGACCTCATAGGAGGCGCAGACAAGCATCATTGAGACGTGTGCGTAATACTAGAAACTCTAGAGCAGGAACACCTAAGGAACAAACACCTGAAGCTACTCCGGCTGTGCCTGATACAAATGGCTCGAGACCCTCGCCTAATCCTAAAGAAGCTGGAGAAATGAGTTCAGTAACGGAGGATGAAAACTCTGAGGAAGATAGTGATTCAAGAGATGCCGGTGACTTAGCAAAAGTTGATACTAGTAGAAGCGGTGATAACCCAGAGGACTCACCAAGCAGAATGCGTACAAGAAATAAGTCAAAAGAACAAACAACACCAAATGGAAGAAAAGGGCAAGATGAAAGTGATAATGATTCAAAGTGTAAAAAGCCCAATAAACAATCTAATGTACAAAGTACAAATAATAATGTGGCTGAAAAAGTTTTATCATCGCCAGCTAATAAAGATAATAAAAAGAAAGTGTCAAATGGTAAAGTTGATGTATCTAAGGTTAAGAAAAGACTACCAGATGATACAAAACCAGAAGGTATTATGGATGGTGATGTACAAATGAAAAAGAAAAAGGCTAGTGATCCACCTGAAAGTCCATCAGAAAGTCTGACAAATGACAGTTTCTCGGCCATGGATGAAACTGAGAATACTGAACCTGAACCAGAAGCTTGTGACTTTAGCTTCAATAAAAACGAAAAAGAAAACCCTGAACAAAATAAAGAACTGGAATCTGAACAACTTACTAAACCAATAGAACCTGCAAAGTCAGATTCCAATAATGAGCTTACAAATAAAATAGACAAAGAGCCTTTGCCTCCTGTCTTTAAAGTTGTATCAGAAAAAGATGATAGAAGTGTACTTGATTTGAAAACAGAGTCTAGTGGATCCAGGAATGTAGAAAACGCTGAACCTAGATCTCTTGCAATATTCCCGAAAACTGAACTCATTATACCTAAAGTTACTCCCATATCTACAGAAGTTTTAGAGAAAATAAAAATCAAAGAGGAAATTGATACAGAAGAACAAACACTTAATTTACAGAAAGAAGATTTTCAGAAGGATCCTCTTTCCCATAATTTTACTGGACTTCCTTTAAATCAACCAAACAAACCTCTTAATTTGGAAAGCACAAACTTTTTTGTTAAAGACAGTCATATTTATAATCCCAAACTTAGCCACGGTATTAAGATTGAAGGAGTGCCAAATAATATTTTTAATCCTGTGAACATTAAAGAAAATTCAATTATCAGAAATGCTAAAGACTTTGTAAGTGGGATGCCACCATTTTCATATCCTCCAAACATGAACTATCCTGGTGATCCTAATAAACACAATCCTCTTATTAATCCATTAAAGACTGTTATTAAGTTAGAGCCAAGAGATGAAACGAGTGATTTGAAAAATCAAAATACTCCCGAAATCTTTACAGCAACTATATCAGCAGCAAATAAGGTGGACTCGCCTAACACACCGAGGCTGGATAGCTTACAAAGGATTAGCCCATCTCCAACAAATGCAAGAGGATCTTCCCCATCTCATCTTGAACATGCAATTACCACAAGTACTGAGCCTATATCACCTGCTAATACTCAAGAGATTAAATCGCATGAGTCAGATATTGAAGACAAACAACCAACTGACTTAAAAACTCAACCAATACAAGCAAAACAAGATACTCAAAATAGTGGGTTGAGACCACCCATGTTCCCCACACCTGTGAGACCTGAAAATCTTGGCGTAAGATCAAGTGATGCTCAAAGTATTCCTGTATCAGGGCAAAGTATGCCTCCACCATCTCTGAGTCAACCATCTATAACTAGCCTCTTGCCTCCAGGTCCATTAATATCGGTGGGAAGCGGTTCTAATTTGGGACCCTATGGATTTATGCCTACGCCATTATATGGTCATCCAGGACATCCAGGTTTAGAAAAGCCTAGCTCTATACCACAAATAATGCAACAAGTACCTCCAAGTCATGGGCTTCAAGGAAATAATTTGATACCTCCACCATCTAATCAAAGTGATCCATCAATGCCTCAAGACTTAAAGATAAAACAAGAAGTACCCGACAATATGCCAGCTAATCTATCCACACAGAATGTAACAGATCCACTGCAGTCCCTTAAGGAAGTAAAAGTGCCAGGTTATCCAATTGGAAGTGCTATAGCTCAACATTTAACCTCAGAAAGAGATAGAGAATCAATATCAAGTGTTGAAAACAGCAGTAGACCCCCAAGCCAACCAACAAATGAAAACACAACCATGGCAAGCGCATTCCTTGGATCAAGAATAGAAAGTATTAAAAAGGAACCCGATTTTATACATCAACCTCATATTTCTCATATTCCTGTATCTTCAAATCAAGTGAGTGTGTCGGAGTCATCAAATGCAATGGCACCAGTGAAAAGTCCTCATACACCTACACCCATAAAAAGCCTGCCCTCCCACAATGGTACTCCCAGTCATGGCACACATCCATCAGCAACAACATCACCATTTTCTCGACATTTAACAAGTCCATCACAATCAAGACATATATCTGCATCTCCAGTTCAACCAAATACACCTGTTTCACATTCAGCACTTAATTTAATGAACCCTTCACCATTATCTATACCATCAACAATACCTGGCCCAGTAATGCATTCAGGTCAACAACCTGGGCCTCATCCACCGCATCCATTTGCATCCCCTCTTCACCACCCTCATCATCCCCTACTTCATCCATCCTCAATATTTCAACTGTCAGCTGCAGCAGCTGCTCACGCCATGCATCCATACTATCCTCATCCACATCCTGGTTATTCTATGCCTTACCCATATCCTTATGGACCATTGCCCCAACCTCATCCAATACCACCGATGCATCCCGCCTCAAGTACGCCAGGAAGGCATGATCCAGGAAAACCCTCTACAATAGAATCAACAACCATGCTAAGCGCTCATCACAGTACCAGTTCGTCTGTTACTACAAGGTCATTAAGAGAGATTTCTGAAAGTTCTGAAGACCCAAGAAATCCAAATGCAACCACAGAAAGGCATCAATTGCATGAAACAACAATGACCCATCATCATTCAACTAGTCACCATAGCGCTGTGCATACAAGTACTGAAAAACAACCGAATCATGCAGGAGGGGCCACAAATCATACTTTATCTATTTCTCATTCAACGTCAAGCAGTTCATCGCAGTCTATACAACATAAAATAAATACCCAACAAAAATCCAATTCACATTCTGGATCGCCGCATCATCTATCTGCCAGTGTCTCGCAGACTACTAGTACATCATCCAGTGTTAATGTATCAAATAATCATACTCACCATCATTCACATCACCTCGCTCATCATCCCGAGAGATTATCGCCTGCAGATTCTATGCTATTACGTCACCACCCAAAAATGATGCCAGGAAACCCAAATCACCTTATGATTCAACCACCATCGATGGGTCATCCCATGGGTTTAGGCTTGCCACCAGGACCTGGGCCTAGTTCAATTGAGACTTTACGGTTGCACGCCCAAGCTGCAGCGGGATTGCAAGCATCGCATGCAAGATCTGGCTCACCTCATCAAATGGCTCATGGCCATCCCCATTTACGTGGCCCTCAGCGACCAATGTCAGATGAAAACCCTGAACTGAAACTTGAAACACAGTCACAACCCGAAGAAGATGAAATTCCAAGTCCAGCACACATTCCTCATGGACCAAGCCCTGAACCAAAAATAGAAGATACGGAATGTCATAGATCACAATCAGCCATATTTTTGAGACATTGGAACAGAGGCGATTACAATTCATGTACACGAACAGATTTAATATTTAAACCTGTGCCAGAATCAAAACTTGCACGGAAACGAGAAGAACGATTACGGAAGCAAGCTGAAAGAGATAGAGAGGAAAGAGAAAAAATTGCTCAACAAGCTCACAGAAAAATAGCAACACCTGAAAAACCAGATACTAAACCACCATCAAGAGGTGCTATTGAAACAATTACTTCTCCATATGATAGATTCCCTAGACCACCAGGCTATCCTGATACTCCTGCTCTACGACAACTATCAGAATATGCAAGACCACATGCAGGATTTAGTCCTGGAAATTTGCCTCGACATTGTATGGATCCAATGCTGCAGTACCAACTTAGTTCAATGTATGGAGCTGCTGGAGCCAGGGAACGGCTTGAGTTAGAGCACCTTGAACGGGAGAAACGCGACAGAGAAATAAGAGAACTGCGGGAACGTGAACTTAATGATAGATTGAAAGAAGAACTTTTGAAAAATAATGTTGGTCCTAGAGCTCTCGACCCACACTGGTTAGAAATGCACAGGAGGTATGGAATGCCGCCTCCTCCACCGCAGGGCGCTATTCCAGTTCAATTCGGGCTTTATCCTCCTGGACACGGGCCTGCATCACTTTCTCAACTTGAACGCGAGCGGCTCGAACGACTAGGCATCCCACCGTCAGCGGCAGGTGGGCCGCCGCCCAACGTCCCTGTGACGGGGGCGCCGCCACACCATCCACATCATCCGCATCCTGGGGTTGCGGCTGCTCAACTGGAGGCGGCTGAGAGGCTAGCACTCGCTGCAGATCCAATGGTGCGACTACAAATGGCTGGAATCAACCCAGAATACCACGCGCACACTCATGCGCACACACACGCGCATTCACATACTCACCTCCATCTCCATCCTGGCCAACAGGCGGCGGCACAGGCACAACAGGATGCCCTGGGTCTTGGGCTTGGAGCCGGTGCGCCCTACCGGCCGCTGCCTCATCCGGACCTGCTGGGCAGGCCGTACGCTGAGCAGTTGGCGCAGCAAGCGGCGGCCCATGAGCAACTTCAAAGGCAGCTTCTTCTGGAGCGGGAACGAGGCTTTCTGCATCCAGCCCATCACGAAGACTTCCTGCGCCAGCAGCGAGAGCGCGAACTGAAGGTTAGAGCTCTCGAGGAAGCGGCACGTGCATCGCGTCCGTAGTGTCCCGCCATGCAGGGGTCTGACGACATCATAGTGCTAGTGGAGTGATGGTAAGACATGTGAAGTGACGGTTTTTCAACCAGTTATAGAAGCATTTGTAATATATTTCAAAGTGTTCACAATCTAGTGCTAGGAATATTTAAAAAGAACAGAGATTTTTTTATGTGTGACACTACTTGTAATTAATATTTATAATTTATTTAAGTTTTATAATATTTTTATAGTTGCATGGTATGTAGTATGCTTCTTTTCCATGCTCAAATTTATTTCTTAACTACTAGTCATAATAAATGATTATGTGTGGAAGATGATAAAATGAGTCACACAGTTCTGACATAGTCTAAATTATTGTTTGTCTGTATTTTCATATTACTACAAGATAAGTGTGGTGCTGGTTCAACATTCATTGAATGTTTCATATAGCAACAATTTAACGAATTATTGCTCTTAGTTTCAAATTCATCACTTTGATTACTAATATATAAAGTTGAGGAATAGGATATGTACTGTGACTTGCCTTTCTAAATAACTTGCCTTTATGTGTTTGACCCATAGCAAGATTACTATTCATATGTTTGACATTATTGAGGGTTACCTCTTATTTTTGTTGCAGTTTGAGTGATTACTTTTTGTGTTGTTTTATTTATTTATATATAAAATTAACCCTCTCAGAAATAAGGGCGGGCCTGTGCCCAGAACTACTTTTTTATACATATATCTTATATATTTATGCATACACTTAAAATATACATTCTTTGTTCATGCAATATTGTAAATTTTAAGCAATAATTACGAGCAAATGGGATATTGATGGATAGGGATGACATTTGTAATGCTATCATTTTGCTACTACCCTTTTTCAACAGACTTCGAAAAAAGAAGGTTTTAAATTCGACTACTTTTTTGTGTGTTACCTCAGAACTTCTTTCAAGGTGAACCGATTTTGATGATTTTTTTTATTTGAAAGCTGGTGCTTCTCATGTGGTCCCATAGAAATTTGATCATGATTTGACCAGTAGTTTTTGAGTTATACCACAGAATAAATAATATTTAAGGTTATACTTAATAATGCATATTTAATTAACTACATTAGTGATGTTCTCATTTTATTTATATTGAAGTCTGTACAAAATATAAAATTTTACCACTTCTTATTTTCATTATATGCAACTAGCATATATGTCTATTGAATGTATGAACCTATTAATTATGCCATTTGAAATTATGGGGACACTTGAAACTAAATCTTTTTACCAGCAGAGTATACATCCCTTAGGCAAATGTGTACTCTAAGATGTTACTTTACTAACTAATAACTAATATCACAATATCACAATTGTGTGATTTCAGGGTGTAATAAAACAAAAATGTATTAAACACTCTTTGTTAAAATTTTAAAAAATTTTTAAATTCATTTTGGAATTTTTATATGATAAATCATTAATCATCATTGCTTTTGATATTTATTTATTTTTTATATGAAAAATAAAAAAAATACCAAAAGCAATTATTATCCACAAATTATTTTGTTGCTTCATATTTATTGTCTTATTGTTTTAAAGTTTTTGAAAATGCAACACCAATATCTAAAGATATAAGTGCTACTACTTAATTTTTTTGTTTTAAATATTTTACACGAAAATGGGAGAGCGCGCTAGAATTTGTGAATTATTGTACAGATAAAATCGAGACCTGTTTTTTTTATCATCTGTACTAAGATAGTATGAAATATATTATACAGTCTTGTAAAATAATATTTTGTAATTTTCACAAAATGTACACATTCAAATATTTCTATTGCACTTTAACTTGTATTATAGTTTCACTTGTAATAAATAGAAACCTGTTACGAGTTGAAGAAGAATAATGTTATAGAATATTCTAGATTATAAATATATTTCACAATGTCGCTTGGTAGGTATTATTTTCATAATGCCATAATTACTTTCCGATATAAAAAGAGAAATGAGTATTATTTTTAGAGACAAATTATATCTTTTAATTAAGAGGTTGCGTGTCGGTTTAAAACTTCATTTATTTAGACAATAAGGTTAAATGGATGTCTTAGTGCTTTTGTGTAAATTTTTTGAATAATATATGTGAAAAACTCATTTTGGATTTTTAGTTCTACTTTGACATTTTTTAAAGTAATTTTATACCTACTATAGGCTCAGACTTCAGTCCAAAAAAGAAAGAAGTAAGAACACTTCATGTACATTTTAAGTGACGCCGAAAGCCGAAAATTTTAGGGGCATAATGTGATTGTGTTGATGAAATCATGTAGGTTTTTTTTAAATTAAAAACTAGCTCATAACCGGCGCATTGCTACGACAGAAGATATATTTGTGGAAATATCGTTTTAAATTTGGAAGAGTTACATTGTTTAATTAGGAATGAAATTAGGAATGATAATACATTCGTTATAGTTGAATAATATGTAACTTGCAAATAAATTTGTAACGAAACACGCGCCACTTGTATGTTAATTGTACTATGCCTAATACTTTCGCGCAAGTGCAAGCAATAAGTTGATAAAGTTTTAGCGCAATGTAATTTACGGTAAGGTAGCGCATATAATACGAACAAACAAACATTATTTTTTATATATTAGATAAACTTACAAATGAACTTAAGCTCCATCTGATGGCAAATGGCTGGATCAGTTCATTGACACCTTAAGCCAACTTCAAGCAAGGAAGACTCCTGATGCGTTGTCACCTCTGAGGACTAAGATGGAATGCTTCACAGCCCGTAACTATACTTAATAGGTATCCTTCAGACCGAAACAGCATTGCAGGGAATGCTGTTTGGTGAGAAAAAATTCTCAGTAGCTACCCGGAGACAGGAATTGGGCGGTATCTCAACCCTGTGCACGAAAGCACTTAAAGCCTTTGGTCCTGCGCCTGATCTCTCTCCGGTGGTGTCGGTTTACCGTCCCATCGGACTATGAGAGTGAGGGAATAGAGAGTGTACCTGTGCTTGCGCGCATACACTTGGGCGTTATAATTCTGCGCCGATGGCTAGTCTCCGTTGAGACTGGCCGCCGTGACCGAAATTCGATCTGGATGGAAGACATTAATGCTGCTACCGTTACAGCCTATTAATCCATTCAATGCCTTTGGCGCCCATGGACGGCCTGACAACCTTTTTTCATATGCCCAGGGCGCCCATCGGCGTCTCAATTTCAAACAACAAAAAAGACCTAATATTTCTTTAATGCTACGTTTTACAATAATCTAGCTATACTTGATTTAAAAAAAAATCTGATTCTAATGTTACATGTCGAAGCCGCCCATCGGCGCCCCTAATAAATAATCAGAGTTTATCAACCCTCTCATATTATGAGAATGAAAAACACTATTCGTTTTGTCATTATTGAAAAAATATAAATTGGCGTTTTTATGCAGTGGAATTGAAGTCTTGTAGCATATAGTTGGTCGTGGTATAATCACGTGAATTGAAATCTATTATTTGATTATTTCCTTGGTTTGAATTGTTACAAATCAAGATTTGATCCGTTAGTCTTGACCATGAGTAAGCAGAAAAATTATTTTGAGAACTTGGGACTGCGTATTCTTTGAAGTAGTTACAGCGTCGCACACGGCTAATAAATGAATCAAAGGATAGGTACCGCTTCGAGTATTGCGCTAATTTGGTTGGGCCATAAAAGAAAAATTTTAAACAAAAGAAGTCTATAAGAGATTTCTCACTTAAGGTTTGGTAATTTATTGACTATGAAAAAGCGAAAAGACAGAGAAAGATAACCGTTAAGTTTTTCCAGAATCGAAGCTAGATCTGAAATCAAATATGTATATGAAGTTCACAAATAAAATTGAAAAGGGATCTTTGTAAGTTTAAAAAAGGTTGATATTTCCTGACTTTAAAAAAAGCCATTATAGTATTTCTTTTCTAGTATACACAACGATTTCTACTACGTCATGCCGAAGCTGCTGATGGGCGCCTTAGACACCGTTGGGCGGCCGCCTTCAAATGTACGACGGCATGGGGATAATGTGTTTCTATTCACAGGAGGCAATGAATGGATTAAAGTCCACTACTGAACATTATTAAGCTACCTAACTTAGCTTAATAAATTTATAAAAATATCAATCTATTCACTTGTGAAAGACAATCATCATCGTCATTATCATTACAGCTCCTTACAAGCTCACTGCTAAACATAGGCCTTCTGCAAAGAATGTCACACAGTCCTGAGCCACGCGGTCGTCACTCCATCTACAAGAGGCCTTCCTACACTTCGCTCACCTGTTTCGAGACTGACACTCGAGAACCTCTCTTCTTTATCCTGCAATCGAGATACATCCTTGAAAACATAATATGCAAGATTAGTACAGTATAGTAAATAGTACCAAATTATATTCTTCGTATTCAGATATCACTATATTTTTTTATAAATCAGCAAGCAAAATTAAATTTTAAGTACCTACCTGCTTAATGAGCTTTTATGTAAATTCTAGCAGTTAACATAAAATATGTAACAATAAAGAATCATAAAGATAAATGTTTACCTATTTATATATTTATTAATTTTCAAGTGTAAACACCTTAAATAAACTATAGGGTAAATATAATGTCTAATGTGGTATTTCTTCCAGTCAACACCGGAACCAAAGAAAAATGTGACCTTTAAATGCCACACCTACACTCGTGGTGTCCTGGTTCATCTTCCCTCAAAGTAAGTAGTAGTAGATTTCAAATATCACATAAGCCACCACTTTTTAATAGGATAAGGGTGACAAGCGAGCACACAGTCCCCCTGATGGTAAGTGATTGCTGTGACCTATAGACATCTAAATCTATCCTCGTTTGTGAATCAAATTGCTGATGCATTGTCAGCCGTGAGGGCTAAGATGAAATGTCTATGTACAACAACACCAATGCCCATGTACAATAACTGCAACACCAGGGAAACCCGTCTTCAGCAAATTAGGAGGGACTCCATGAGGCACACTCAACTTGTTGACGTCCAGGGAGAGGAGTGCTTTGCACACTGAGCGCTGTGTAAACTGCAAATCCAGCATAGAGCAATCATACCGAGGGATGATCGGCGGTTTGTATCCCCATCATCGAGAGTCGAGTTAGACTCAAAAAGAGTACCTAAAAGATCGACTTTCTTCTTTGTGGTATAGGCCAGTGGATTTTTCTCCCTGTCCAGAGATGGAACAGATGGCAAACAGAAGTTTCCTTGGATAGCCTTGGCAAAATACCTTAGTAAAATAAGAGATAGAGAAAAGAGCTTGAGTGTTAGTGGTGCTGGAATAGGCAAACTCAGCGCCCCCCGAACCTTGCGCCCTAGGCTCCAGCTTGGATAGCCTGTGGGTAAATCAGGCCCTGGACGGCATCAAGAACTGACTGTACTTTTTATTTACGAGATTTAAAAAATCCAGGAAAGTGCAAATCAGGCTCTTTCAATCGATAAAAAGGCGGCGTTTCCATTCGAAAATGCCGGATCACACAAATGGTTGAAACATTAGGTTTCGGCCCTGCTCTCATCAACCCGTCATCCTAGCGCCAAAAGGGAGAGGCCCAAGCAACATCTATCCTCCATTAAGAATCAAAATCAGATGCGTTGTCGCCCTCGAGGACTAAGATGGAATCCCTCGTTTCTAGTAAATAGAGTCTCCGTTTCTTCACACGTACCATACGAAATACAGCAGCGTAAAGCTGATGTTTTACTCTGGTACCCTGTGAGACCATGGTTTTAACTCGGCCGAGCAGACCTATTCGTGCTTCAACTATAATGTAGCTGTAGAATGACTACCACGTTATAAACACAACAAAGAAATAAAGGTCGTACACAATTTTTTATTTCATCCATTACAGCCTATCAAAAGTAGGCCTTTTTTACATAAATCTAAATAATAATGTGTACATTTCTGTGGCCTCCTACGTAGATATTTGCCATATACGTCACGCTTGTTCGGTGAGTTGGAAAGGAAGATGCTACTGCCCATCTCTTATATTATTTCCCTCTGTGACCTATAACGTCATTCACGGGATGATGTGGGATAATGGATTGAGTTAAGCTGCAACTACGGTGGCGGTTGTACATAATATTAAAATGTCTCTAGGTATCATATTCAAACGTAATGACTTCGGTGCGTCAGGTATTTCTAACCATTTGGAACCGAGACGTGGACCTTCACTGCTGGTTATACATATATCTATGTATAAAAGGTTTAAGACTGAGTCGCTCGGTGAGCTGTGGAGAGTAGGCTTACGCCCCCTACGTTTCCCTGCCTGATTTAAATTTCATAGTGAATTAAAAGTTCGTACATATTAAATAATTACATGATGATGACATTTTACATATACGAGTAGTAGGTAAGTCATGATTTTCTTAACTTCTATTTGCAAATTTAATATTGACTTGTAGATAGGTTTTATTTAAAGAAAAGTATTAATAAAAACTTTTATTTTACGTCAATATTAATAAAGGCGAACGAATTGTCTGTCACATTTTCTATTATTTTGTACAATTTGTTTTCAATTGAGCTAATTTGTCTGCTACTGCAACTTTGTCTGCTAATTTGTTTCCAAGTGATTGATTAATCGATACAGCAAATAAGGCTGTCGAGTTAATGCTTTGTACAGAAAAAGTTGACGAGAGAAAGGACACGGGAAAATGAGACTGACAAGTAACACCGGTTTATTATCGAGCGCACCGCAAAAACAAATACACTCGAAGCAAAAGGTTGGTGATTTATTACCTATACAATTCATCGCGTCATGCGATGATTACTAATTGCATATGGGCTGATCGATAGCAGTTTTTAATTGCAAATATTATTGCTAATTATTCTTATAGTAAATATAGTAAAGTAACAGCCTACACATAATATCCCATTGCGGCGCACAGGCCACCTAATTTCATACACTGTCTCAAGGCACTTTTTCAAAACATTAAACAAAAAGAAAATAACTTTACTTGTCTTCAAAATATTTTTTAATATCTTAGGCATGTAGGTTTGCCTATGATGTTTTCTGTTACCACAGAGCACGTGTAAATCCGCACTTAAAACTGCAATTAATAATTTCTTTAGTGCTGGCAGGAATCGATATTCTATGAAATTCAAGGCGAGCCACGGCTTAGTAATAGTCATTCAAAACCTATATTACAAAGCTAAAATACAACTTATTTTATTATAAATTTGTATTTTTATTAGTTTAATTTTCATTTTAAGGGATGGGTTCTTCCCCATCTATCGAATGCTATATGTATTTTCCTTGCATATTCCTAAGTCCACTCCACTTAAGCAACGCTCAATGTTCAACTTTAAAGGGTGATGGACTTGTAGATTCTCGTAAACTTCTGCTACATTTCAGAGCACTATTGAACTACGATGCGAGGTGACACCGGCGCCATTCATTATGCGACCATACGCCGGCCTCTACAACCCGTTCTCACACGCGTGCTCCATTCTTTGCAACCACCCCGCCGATATCGAAGCCAAAGAGTTTGTCAAGCGTGCTAAAGATGCTTGGGTAAGAAGGGTATTTTTTATTCTAATAGGTAGTGTACTCTGTTACTAGTGCAATGTTCTGGGAGCTATAATTTCATGGTTTCACTTTCAATGTCGAACACCATTGGAAGGATTTTTCTTTTTTTTATTCCCAACCCGTGAAAGACCACTGGTTGACATCCGTCGCTGCTGTTGTAGGGAGGATATTTTTAATCGATCGAATCGGTTGCCGATCGCTATGCTTCATCATCATCATTACATCCCTTCACAAGTCCAATGCTGAACATACGCTTCCACAAGACACGGCCATAGCCACCTGCATCCATCAACTTCCTGCATGTCTTCCCAGGTCGTCATTCCACCCATTCTACTGGGGGGCCGCCCCACACTTACCGGTAAGATGCTGCCACTCGAGAACCCTGCTTCTGTTGCTGTGCTTAGTTTGACAATCTTAAAACGCCCCTATTCGATCTTAGTGTGATTGTGATTGGTAGTAGCTGTTACCCAAAGAAACCTGTATATATCTACCACCGTAATTTATGTTTTTTTATAGATTAAGGGTACAAACGAGCACACAGTCCACCTGGTGGTAAGTGGATGCTGTGGCCCATAGACATCTCCATTTATCCTCGATTATGAATCAAAATTCAGATGCGTTTTGTGGGTGAGTGTGAGCGTGAGCGTGTGAGTGTATGAGTGTGAGTGTGAAAGCGTGTGAGTGTATGAGTGTGAGTGTGAGTTTAGTGTGAGTGTGTGCGAGTGTGTGTGGTTGTGTGTTAGTGTGTGTGAGAGTGTGTGAGTGCGTGACGTGAGTGCGTACGTGCGTGAGTGCGTGCGTGCGTGAGTGCCTGTGTCTGTGTGCGTGAGTGTCTGTGTGTGTGTGTGTGTGTCTGTGTGTGTGTGTGTGTGTGTGTGTGTGTGTGTGTGTGTGTGCGCGTGCGGCGCGCGTGCGTGCGTGGTAGGTGGTGTGTGTGTGTGTGTGTGTGTGTGTGTGTGTGTGTGTGCGCACGTGTGTCTGTCTGTGTGTTTTTGTCTCTCTCTCTCTCTCTCTCTCTCTCTCTCTCTCTCTCTCTCTCTCTCTGTGTGTGTGTGTGTGTGCGCGCGTGCGCGCGTGTGTGTGTGTGTGTGTGTGCGCGCGTGCGCGGGTGTGTTGTGGGTGTGTGTCTCTCTCTCTCTGTGTGTGTGTGTGTGTGTATGTCTCTCTCTCTCTCTCTCTCTCTCTCTCTCTTGTGTGTGTGTGTATGTGTGTCTGTGTGTGTCTGTCTGTGTGTGTGTGTGTGTGTGTATGTGTGTGTGCGTGCGTGCGTGCGTGCGGGCGAGCGTGCGTGCGTGTGTGTGTGTGTGTGTGTGTGTGTGTGTGTGTGTGTGTGCGTGGGCGACGTGTTGGTGTGTTGTCTGTCTGTGTGTGTGTTTTTGTCTCTCTCTCTCTCTCTCTCTCTCTTTTTTCTCTTTTCTCTCCTGTGTTGTGTGTGTGTGTGGCGTGCCGTGTGTGTGTGTGTGTGTGCGCGCGCGTGCGCGCTGTGTTGTGTGTGTCTCTCTCTCTCTTGTGTGTGGGTGCTCTCTCTCTCTCTCTCTCTCTGTGTGTGTGTGTTATGGTGTGTCTGTGTGTGTCTGTCTGTGTGTGTGTGTGTGTGTGTGTGTGTGTGTCTGTGTGTGTGTCTGTGTCTCTGTATGTGTCTGTGTGTGTGTCTGTGTGTCTCTGTATGTGTCTGTGTGTGTGTGTGTGTGTGTGTGTCTCTCTATCTCTGTGTGTGTGTGTCTCTCTCTCTATCTCTCTCTCTCTCTCTCTCTCTCTCTCTCTCTCTCTCTCTGTGTTTGTGTGTGTGTGTGTGTGTGTGTGTGTGTGTGTGTGTGTGTGTGTGTGTGTGTGTGTGTGTCTGTGTGTGTGTGTGTGTGTGTCTGTGTGTGTCTGTGTGTGTCTGTGTGTTTTTTGTGTCTCTCTCTCTCTCTATCTCTCTCTCTCTGTGTGTGTGTGTGTGTGTGTGTGTGTGTGTGTGTGTGTGTGTGTGTGTGTGTGTGTGTGTGTCTGTGTGTGTTTGTGTGGGTATGTACGTGTGTACGTATATGAGAAAAATACAGTGAGTGAATGCATTTATAGGATAAATTCTAATAAGGGTTCAGTTTGATCGTCATTAAGTGTCTTAAGCCACTGCATTATTTTTTTCTTACAATCTATATAATATATATGTCTTTAAAGGATATAATTGCAATATTTTATTAATTTTATTGTATAAGTGTTCTGATCGTTTTTCATATTGATTTTTCGCAAAGTTGGTTTTCGTACTGCATATAGGAACTACACTATAATTTCTTCTTTTACTACCGTAAGTAGGATTAAAAGACAAAGACTTATGTTTTTTTTAACAAAGTGAGTAATATGTACAACTGCCTCACCGAAATCACCCCACAAGATGAATAAAAAATGCTAGTGGGGAACCTATATGGCTTAAAATGTATAACTTTCAATAAACATCTTTGAGCTCTCTCAACTTCAATAAATTTACTTTTATAAGTACCCCCCCAAATAGGTATACAATATATTATTATAGATTGAGCAAGCGCTACATAAATTTGCTTTAAAAGGTCTGGACAAGCAACATATCATAAAGTTTTAAATATCCAAGTGAGTTTTCGAATTCTACTAGACACTAATTCGACATGTTTGTAACAGGAAAGTCGTTGATCCACCATAACATCCAGATACTTTATGTATGAAACTTTTTCAATAGATGTACACGTACAGTTACCGCTGGAAGGATTGTAACATTTATGTATTTTAAGTCTAAAATTATCTTTTGGCTGTGATCGGCTAGTTATAGAAAAACATATGAATTGAGTTTTATTAACATTCAAAGTAAGTAAGCTATTATCAAGCCAACGAGCAACCTTAGCTAATTGTTTTTCCGCTACCAATTGCACTTCTTCCCAAGTGTCTCCCCAAAATAATATCGCAGTGTCATCTAAGTATGAGAAAACTCTTCCTCTATTCACACTCATATTATACAGATTATTAATATGCACTAGGAATAACGTAGGGCCGAGTACGCTTCCCTGCGGTACACCATAATTAACATTTGTATAGCTACTACTGTATTGACCTATTCTTACAGTCTGTGTCCAATCAGAGAGGTAATCCTTTAAAAGTTTTAGAGGTATACCTCTGATACCAATCTGTTCTAATTTATTAACAAGAATGGGGATTGATACAGTATCAAAGGCCTTTTTTAGATCCAGGAAGACAGCAAGACATTTTCTGCCGCTATCCAAGGTATTTACAATTTGAGAACTCAACGCGGCAACTGCATCTTCCGTAGAGCATCCATTTCTAAAGCAGAATTGAGAGTCTGCTAATATTTTAAATTTAAAGAGATACTGTATAAGTCTATTGTTAACTAACTTTTCCAAAATATTTGAGAACACAGGCAGCAAGGAGATTGGCCGATAATTACCAACTTCTTTCTTATCTCCACTTTTGTAAATCGGTATTACAATAGATTGCTTCAGCAGCTTCGGAAAGACACCCTTTTCAAAGCATATATTAACAAAATGGCAGAGGATGGGGACAAGTAGTTGTTTAGCCATCTTGAGAAATCCGGTTGAAATATTGTCCCAGCCAGGGGCGGAATCTGATTTGAAACCTGCAATAATACTGTTGATCTCTTCCGGATAGGTTTCAATCAAAACAAAGGAAGAATGTGCCTTTACAAATACAGTTTTATGTGCTTCATCAATATGGCAAAAAGATAAACAATTATTAGGATCGTTAGTACTTATTTTCTCGGCAAGATTTTTACCCACACTAGCAAAGTACTTTAAATGAATACATGGTTGCTAATAACCACATAAATACACTGAGAGGCCAAAGTTAATTTCTTTAAACTTTTCTCTATGAGATAAGATAGAGTTTATACGAGGTAGAGTCAACAACAACAACAAGTGCAACTATATTTTTTTTATTATTATTATACCTGTAACACCAATGGATTGGGGCTCGGGCAAGGATCAGGTGTACGCCGTATTCCCTCACTCTATCATAGTTCGAAGGTAGTGCAATCCTACAGGACCACAGAGAGATCAGGCACGGGACCAACGACTTAACGTGCTTTTTGAGGCATGGAGGTAAAATACTGCCAACATCCAGACTTCGGGCTGCTACTGAAAATTTTTTGACAGAAAAATCCAATACTTAACTAATTTTTGACTATTCCCTGGATTTGAACCCTGAAAACAAATGATCAGCAGTTACGCTTACATAAACTAGAAAAATGAGGCAGTCCACTAAATAAAATATTAAAGTTACAACTATATTCGTACCTCTTTGCTGAACATAAGCCTCTATTTCAAAGGTTAAGGAACAATAAGTCCGCCGCGCTGTTCCAGTGCGTGTTGACGGACTACACCGTCATCGAAATGAGTCGGCAAGGGAATTACATCCTTTAATTCCTCCCTCTCCTTTCCACTACCGGACACTTGCTTCGCCTTTTGTAATGCGTAAATAATGTGCCACCGTCTGTCTTTTCGTCCGAATATAATCGCAATTAGTTCACACAATCACCACGCAGTACTAAACTAATTTAGCGCTGGAGTCGCTTTCAAAAGTACGAAACGTTATAATTTCAATCCCGATCGATCGGAATTGTTTACTAGAGTAAGCCTGCTGGACGTATTTAAGACCAGAAGCTTTTGTAACGCTAAGACAGTGTGATTTAACATCTAGGACTGCATCATTACTTACAACCAAAATGGGATGGTGGTCAAGTACCGGCTCATAATAAGTGAAAAAAAAAGAATATATTTGAAATATTTTACTTATTTCTTAGATGTTTCAGTTAAATTAAGTACGTACTGGTGTAATGTTATGTTCGGGTGATTTCTACTTCTTTTGATGCCACATCCGATTATATTGCAATTGGGTAGCTTGCTATTGATGATTGCTACTATTGAACCGAGTTCAAACGCAATAACACAGTAAATTACTGCAAAATTCACAAATTACACCAACAGAACAAGTGCATTTGACAGTTGACATGCGGATCAGAGCTATGTTTCTTCAAAATGTATTCCTTTCGTAAATCGAAGCAATGTTAATTGGCAATATTAATTGAAAGTTAAAGTGCTGAATTCATTGGAGTCGACGGTGTTTAAGACCCGGTTGCCTGGCCGAATTGTCGGCTGAACAGCCGACAATTCTGCTGTGTTCCGTGTGGTGAAAGGCGCGACATGGAAATCTCCTTTATCATTAACAATACAGCGTATTAAAGTCCACTGCTGAACATAGGCCTACCGCATAGATTGCCACATAGGGGGATATTTGCCATAGTTGCCACGATTGGGAGGCAACCGTAGTTTTTTTATTCGGTATATATTGATAATATTACGTTTCCCTCTGTCACCTCTTACGACAACCACGGGATGATATGGACTAGTTGATATTCTTACACCGCTACAACACGGTAGGCGCCACTACACGGTAACCTCTTTTAGGGATAAATAACTATCAGATGATGCGCGTTTTTCACCTTTAAAAATGTTTTTGTGTTTAATTTTTAATAAGTTACCAAAAGCCGTGGTAGCTCAGATGGTTAGCGCTCTCTGTAAATTTCACAGTACGCGAGCAAACCGAGTTCGATCCCCGCCGGGACCGGGATGAAATTGTTAATTGCAATTTTAAGTGCTGATTTACCACGTGCTCGGCGGTGAAGGAAAACATCGTGAGGAAACCTGAATGTCTAAGAAATAAGAAAAAAAAAATAATTCGAAGACATGTGAAGTTCGCCAACACGCATTGGGGCAGCGCGGCGGACACTTCCTTGCCCTAATACTCTCTCAGAAATGAGAGGACCTGTGCCCAGCAGTGGGACAGGTCATATATAGGCTGTAACTTTACTTTATTTTTTACACTTTTTACGATTTTATGATAAGTAAATTAAATGAAACTTTTATCACCATCGGGATAATTATTTTAAAACATTAGATTTGTTGAAATTGTTGAAACTTTAGACGAATGGTCTCTTGTATAAAAGAGTCTAATTTTAGATGATTTCCTTGATCGTTTATTGATGATACCGTACTTTTAATGTTTTATTTCAGGCTTTAGAAGGAAAAACTCATAATTTTCAAGAGGACTTAAGTAAAATTCAAGATCAATGTGACAAGGAGAAAAGTAGAACCCCACATGACATCGTAACTGAGGACATGTTTAGAAGGTAAGAAAAGAGAGTAGCAATCTACTGTCCAATGACAAATGAGTCACCGATCGACAGTCAACTGCAATACATTGAGATTTTTTTTTCTTCTTTTTTTAATATTGCCCCCATACTAGAACTTCTCCTGTACCGTGAAAGGAGTTTTCATACATAATTGCACAACGACGAATATGTAGACACAGAACAATTACAATTAGACTATACAAATACTTGTTCCATGCGGGATTTGAGCCCGACGTCTTCAGCGCCGCAAGTCAATACTACTTAAGCCACTGCGCCACGAAGACGTTAAGATCTGCGACCGATTACTAAACAAACAAACACAACAAATGCATCATTCCTAAACACTATCATGAATTACCTTACAGCCTCTAATTATAATGACTTTTTTATTTTACCCTACTAACCGTAACACAGGCATCTTCGCGGGAGAAATAGTCAAGAGGGTGGTATTCTACCAACATGTATGTGTTTCAATGCTAACTCAGAGACGCCTGCTTTGCATCTTGCTATTTTATGACAGGCACGACAAAGTTGTGGAAGTTATCCAGTTTTTTTTTCCGGACGGATACCACCTGGACATACAATAAAAGAGTTTACTCCTTTGTAAAACGCGTGAAACTCACCTGCTGTTCTGTAAAAATCTTTCCTATAAAAATGCTATAAAGCTCCGGAACAACAGTTTCACCACCAGAAATATTGACTGACAATAGAAGCCAGGAGCTTCGAGTCAGTAGCTAACCTCTCCTTAATGTAGATTTTTCGGATAAAAAGTATCAAAATTTCTCCTATAGTCATCGATCTAAGCTGAGTGAGTTGACGATAACCATTTTTATAGAAGAGGGGCAAACAAGTATAGCTCGCAGGATGGTAAGTGACCTCCGCCGCCTATGAACAACTGCAATAATAATAATAATCCATTTATATCCGTAATTCCATCTGGTTGGGCTTTTATTTATTTATGTATTTTTGTATTCATTTTATTTTAATTATATTTATGTATATTTATCTTTTCATTTTAATTTATAATTATATATTTATAGAACCCAACTAGATAAGAAAACTATAGATACCCCATAAAATAATAATAATTTTCTCCAGACCGAATTTCGGCCACGGCGGCCTGCCTCAACGGAGGCTAGCCATCGGCGCAGGACAGGATTATAGTGCCCAAGTGTATGCGCAAGCACAGGTGCACTCTCGATTCCCTCACTCTCACAATCCGATGGGACAATAAACCGACACGACTGGAGAGATATCAGGCGCAGGCCCAACGGCTTTACGTGCTTTCAGAGGCACGGAGGTGAGACACCGCTAACTTCCTGACTCCGGGCAGTTACTGAGAATTTCTTGATGGAAAACTCAATAATTGTTTTTTGGCCCGACCCGGGATTCAAACCCAAGACCTCATGATCAGCAGTCGCACCACTGCAACCACTAGACCAACGAGACAGTTAAAAGGCAACAGGAAAAAGGCAACTGCAATACCAGATAAAAACAGGTGCGTCGCCGGCCTTTAAAAAAATGAATGAGCTCTTTCCTTGAAGGTTCATGCTTTGCCGATTGATCGATGATACCGTTAATAGATTGTGATATGTTCTAGAGCCATGCTGCAGTTATATTATGGTTGTAATACGAAAGGGTCGGTTTGATCGGGGAAGGACAAAGCTCCGACAAAATATCAGCGTAAAAAGGCAGCTTAATGCTGCTGTGTTTTGTATGGTAAATATAGAGAATCGCTGACCATTTTAACTGGAATCGAGATATCCTATATTAGTCCTTAAGCGTGACAGAGCATCTGCATTTTTATTCTTAATCGAGGATAAATGTAGATAGATGACCATGAGTCAATACATACACTTATGTAATAAGAGTCAATACTTTTATCTAATGAAAAAAGACGGATTCACATGGTAACATTCTTGCTCGTTGTACAAGAGCTTATTAACCATTGGTAAACATTAATTCTACCACATATTTCAAAACAAGTCGAAAAATAAACATGCTTATATCTCGATATATTGTTGTTTCAGTTACAAATTACAATATATACATGGCGCATAAATAAAGTTTTTTCGTTCGTAACGGCCGCTTTACACTTCGACAAGTACAGTAGCGAGATAACTTGCAAACCTGGGGAGTTAAGTAGAAAACAGCGAGTTAGGCCCAGTTTACATTTTGAGAAGTGACAAGTGCGAGGGGCAAGTGCAACTGACAAATTGAGGCAGGCCGCGACTAGCCACCGGCGCAGGACTTGATTATAGTGCATAAGTGTATGCGCAAGCACAGGTGCACTCTCTATTCCCTCACTTTCATAATCCGATGGGACGGTAAACCGACACGACCGGAGAGAGATCAGGCGCAGGACCAACGGCTTTACGTGCTTTCCGAGGCACGAGGGTGAGACACTGCCAACTTCCTGACTCTGGGCAGCTACTAAGAATTTCTTGACGGAAAACTTAAATAATTGATTTTTGGGCCGACCCGGGATTCGAACCCATAACATCATGATCAGCAGTCGCAAAATATAAAATTGTGCGTTTTTTAGCTAAGCTTGCCAGGAAGACATTTGAACGCTACTATCAACTTAACCGTTTACTGTCAACTGTCATGTAACTAAACTTGCTACTGTACTTGTCGAAGTATAAATCAACCATTATTGCTTCGAGATTTAAAACACGTAATTTTTACTATCCCATTGGAATCCATTGTTAGATACTGGCGTTTCCCATCAGCAGGAGGTTTGTATAATATTTATCATCACTCTTGGAAGGCAGCTTGATGATCACCTGAGTCTTACATTAAACCAAGTTATTCAGTTTGGTATACCGCCATCAATTCATGGTAAAGAAAATAAAAGTAATTAAAAGTAAAATAAACGCGATAAAATCCGTAAAAGTAGTTTTAATCAATGTAAAGAAAAGAGTTATGATTATATTAGGATATCTGACCTGGAAGAAATAGAAGTGTCAGTGTTAACACGAGAAGGCGGGATCTCATACCCGTATATTAAGCTATAACTACTGGACAAATTCGACAGCTTGGTAGCGCGGTTGCTAATCATTTGGCTACTGCCCTACGAGGCTTCGGGTTTGAGTCCTGCACGGAATAATTATTTGTATGCTTTACAAAAAATCTTTCCAGGTAAGTATGTTTGTCCATACATAATTTATCTTTTATAGAACACCACAATACATGAGAAAATACTAGCGTGGGGTATGCATGTTAAACCTTGGGCGGTTTTCCATTTACCGCCGGGGCACCAGCGCGGACAACAGCCCGGCTGCCGGGGAACTTATAATGTATGAAATATATGGCATGTGTTTCTACTTACTGGCGCCGGCGCCGGCACGGATGACTTCCACCCGTGCCGTAGCAGGTACCTACGGAACAGCAAACTTCTCTCTTGGTGCCAGCCGGCAAAACTGTATTTTTTTTATAGAAGAGGCGGCAAACGAGCATACGGTTCACCTATTGTTACGTGACTTCCGCCGCCCATGAACAACTGCAACACCAGGAGAATTGTAGGTGCGTTGCCGACCTTTTAGAAAGAAGTAAGCTCTTATCTTAAAGGTCCCTAAATTGTGCCGGTCTGGAAAAATCGCCGGTGGTAAACTATTCCACAGAGAGGTCGTACGCGGAATAAAATTCCTAGTGAAACGTACAGTGGTGGACCGCCAAGCATCCAGATGGTGTGGATGGTATCGGGAATTTTGCCGCGTAGTGCGTTCATGAAATTTGGCGGCAAGGATTAATCCGAACAATTCCTCAGAGCACACCCCATGGTAAAAGCGAATAAAAATGCATAGAGATGCAAAATCTCTTTGCAGCACCAATGAATCGAGCCGTTCGGAAAGTACTCGGTCGTCGACGATTCGAGCCGCTCTGCGCTGGATGCGGTCAAGTGGAAGGAGCTGGCACTGGAAAGCCCCAGCCCAGATATGGGAACAGTATTCCATGTGAGGTCGAACCAGCGCCTTGTAAAGTTGCAGGCGGCGTGCCGGCATGAAATACTGTCCCGCTCTGCTGAGCACGCCAAGCTTTTTAGAGGCCAATTTGGCCTTCTCTTCCAAGAGACTACGGAACTGCAAGTCACTTGATACGTTGACGCCGAAGATTCCAATGCTGTCTGAGGCAACAAGAGGAGTGCCTTAAAACTGAGGAGATACGACAAAGGGGCTTTTTAACGGTAAACGCACAAACTTGTGTCTTCTGAGGATTAAACTGGTCTAGATTTAGTTGCCCCTAATCCGAGACTTTGTTCAGCAAAGACTCGACTTCAGACACAAGTTTGTCCCGGTACTCGGAGACGTTTCCGGAGAAATATTGGCACGGCCGGTGTACAGAGCATTATCAGAGCATCATCCGCATAGCAATGAATGTTACCGGTTCGCAACATATCATTGATAAGCAGAAGAAACAGCGTTGATAATCGCACGCAGCCTTGTGGAACGCCAGCATTAATAGGCTTGTAATCGGAGCATACACCGTCCACAACGACCTTGATGCTCCGATCTGCAAAAAATCTGGTGATACAATTGCACAATTTCTCGGGAAGCCCATAGGAAGGGAGCTTCGAAAGAAGCGCTATGTGCTAAGCCCGATCGAAGGCCTTCGCAATGTCCAAACTAACCGCCAACGACTCCCCCTTGGACTCTACTGCCTCCGCCCATTTATGAGTCAGAAAGAGCAGAAGATCATTAGCTGATCGACTCCGACGAAAACCGTATTGGCGGTCACTAATCAGCTGGTGATCCTCAAGGTACCGCATGAGCTGGTAGTTTATAATGGATGCCATTATTTTGGAGAACAAGGAGATGATGGCGGGGGGCCTGTAGTTTTTTAGGGATATGGTGGACGAAAGCCGTCTTCCATGATTTTGATACTACGCCTAGGGAGTAGGAGTACCGGAAAAGACACGTTAGACGCGTTATTTTACGTGCTAGAGCCATGCTGCAGTTATATTAGTACATAGTATGGTTATAGCACGAATAGGTCGGCTTAACCTGGGAAGCACCATGGCCCTAGAGAATACCAGCGTAAAATAGTAGCTTAATGCTGCTGTGTTCCGTATGGTGAGTGTAGAGAACCGGAGGCCCTTTTTACTGGAAACGAGGCATTCCATCTTAGTCCTCACGGGTGACCTGCATTTTGATTCGTAATCGAGGATATATGTAGATGTCTATGGGCCACAGCAACTACTTACCATCAGGTTGATTGTGTCACCCTATCCTATAAAAAAACGGTGCCGACTCTGGAGCACACGTCTTCAGCACAATTGGGGGAATTCTGTTAGGCCTTCTCGACTTGTGGATGTCCAGGGAGAGAAGTGCTTTGCGAACCGAGCGCTGTGTAAACCACACATCAGGCATGGAGCACTCATACCGCGAAATGGTCGGCGGTGTGCTCCCCCGTCATCTCGAGTCGAGTTGGACTCAAAGAAAAAGCCTAGTAGATCGAGTTACTCCTTTGCGGCATGGTCAGTCCTCCCATTGCAGGGATGGAAGAGATGGTTGACAGAAATTCCCTTGGACAGCCTTGGCGGGAGACCAGAATGCACGGGTTCCAGAAGGAAGGCGAACTAGATTATCGCCAATTCTGCCTATGTGCTCTGTCTTTGCCTTGGCAATTCTCCAAGACTCGGAAAAGACTTGTGAAGGACCTGTATGCGGAATTATACTTCTTTTTTAGGGCGCTGGTGTTTACATCCCGGGGCGTTGATGCGTCAGCCCAGGCCCGGTAGCACTCCTGCTTATTGCATGACGATTTTTACAGGAGCGTGTTCCAAAGGCGATGTATGTAACCGCGATTTCAGCGTGAGTGACAAGACAATGATCCGAGAAGCCAGGATGGGCATCGACAGAGACCTGTCCGGATGAGAGGTCAGCAGAAGGTCCAACAGGTAAAGTGCATTATCCTCCACATCTGGAATCCGCGTGGGCGAAGTAACCAGTTGTGTCAGACAGTATGCTAAGGCAAGATCATGAACAGATCTCCCCGCATGATCGGCTAAAAGTGAACCAAGCCATTCGGTGTGGTGGGCGTTAAAATCGCCGAGGATCACGATCTCTGTGGAGGAGGTCTGCTGTAGTAACGAATCTGTAGACATTCGACATATAAAAGCACCCGTAGACGCGCGGATGGTCGTCGCTGTCTACGCGTAGCCAAAGGATAGACAGTTCCGGAACTTCAACACTGGCGAGGCGTCGAGAACAGATAACGCAAAGTTTACTTAGGGAATTGGGCCTCAGGCAACCTGCACTCACCAGACGAAACGCGGAAGCAGAGCTTCAACTTCACGCCGGTATTCTGTGAGGTCGTGGTACCAGCCTGGCTCCAGCCGGCCCATACTATACGCCCCATTGTAGCAGTGTTCGTCTGTGCGCGGGCCAAAAAAGAAGGGACGCGTTGAGATTGAGACTGGAAATTGACTTGTGAAATGATGAAATGTCTTCTCATTCATACGGAAGTAGTTGAAATATTTTTGGAGTCCATTTTAAACTTTTAAAATAGGGTATAATATATTTCCGCTAAATATCTTATTTTTAAGATTGGATGAACTCAAAATTTGACTTCTCTGCGTAGATTGTATTTACGTCTTAAATGTAAGAATATAACAAACAAATACGATGACTTGCCGAGACCATTTTACGTATTGCAAGTAGAACTTAAGTATGTGTATAGGCAACGCCACGAGTCAAGAAAGTGCGCAGAAGAGAAAAATAGGTGTCGACGGTGAGGTGTGAGGTACGGGGAAGCGAAACCATAGCAACGGGCGACGCGATACTCCCAAGTAGTTTCTCCATAGTTTCTCCCTGCGTCCCGTCGCCCGCGCTTCTTGTGTCGTCTTGTGTACTATCATCGATATCGAAAGTGTTAGCGACTACCTGTTATAAAATTTTTAAATTTTTGCGATTATTTTTGTACTTTTAAAAATATTGTTCTATAATATATTCAAAAAGTGTAAACTGCAACTATTTATTACTTTGTAAATTGTTTTGAGACTATTTAAAATAGCGTAATTCGCAGTATTTTGTATAAAGTTGTAAATATTTTGTTTATTTTTGCAAATTATTGCATGTAAAATATCCTTATAATCGAAGGCTATCGCATAGTATAGTTTAAATAGCAATTACAAATACAAAAATACAAATACAAAATATTTTATTTCTTTGACTAAGTGTACATAAAATACAGAATATTATTTAAAAGCAATTAAAACTTAACGATGATATATAAATATATAGTTCCGTTTTCGTGGAGACTTCGATGTGTAGTTATAATGTCGACCTTTGACTTTTTACATATTAAAATGCCATAATAAAATTTTCATTTTTCTGCTTGATTGTACATGCGCAGTGGACGCTATTTAATTTCATCTTTCTTGGCGTGACCTATACCTATTAGTATTTAGTACTCCCCAAAAACTGAGCGTAGACCGAACCGGTGCAGAGGAAAAACGAAGCCCGGCACAGCGCGGTGCCGTCGCCGTACCGGGGCTTCGCCGGTGAACGGAAAGCCACCCATTAGCTAGTACTGTAAAGTGTAAACCCAACATACGAGTTCGTAACTGATCCTCGCATTCTAGTTTACTTCTGGCTAGCAAGTTTCAACAATGTGAATGGATGTTCATAAATGAAAATGAACAGTTACATAATTAACTACTTAGTTTTTATTCATATAATTCTTTTTGCATAATTACTACATGAGAACACAAACTTGTTACTTAGAGTACAACATACTGTCTGTCATTAAAAACCTAGGTAGGTTTGGATTGGTTTTAAGAAAAATAAATATTTTTTCCTGTTCTGTATAAATTAATCTCCACCTTAAAAAACGAAACAAAAATTGACATGTATTAACTGAAGAGTTGGCGCTGGTGGATTTTCAAACCACTTGTATTTGCTTTTTTTTGCAAATGATTTGATATTTAAGGTAAAATCTTCAGGCTCTTCATAATTACCAATATCTTCACTATAAATAAATTATTTCCTTTATGGCCTCCGACCAAAATCAGAATAATCGTTTAATATATCTACTGCCTAATGATTTCTTAAATTTACGCGAACACTACACATTGAATAAAACTATTATTTACGGATTTTATCGCGTTTAATTACTTTAATTTATTTTTATTATTATCCCGACGTTTCGGGTGCTTTACAGCGCCCATGGTCACGGGGGGGACTGAGATGTTTGACGTCCCAATGTCATAGTTAGTCCGGCTACCTTCAGTTTTTTAATATTAATTTTTGGTCCGATTTACGCAAAATGAGCTTATAGTATCATGAAGTCTTGCAGTGGTATGCTTGGGTTTGGGTTTAATTTTGTTAATTATAGGATCCCAAGCAGATGGTAGCACCCAACCATCTTCTCTATTGAAATTTGGATGTTTTTTAATTTCAATAGCCTCGCGTATCATCCTTGGTAGGAATCGGTGTTCTTTTGCGAGAATTTGTGGTTTATCAAATCTAATGTAATGGTGGGGACGATCTTGAACATGTTCGGGGAAGTCTGCAGTCTGCGAACATGTTCAAGATCGTCCCCACCATTACATTAGATTTGATAAACCACAAATTCTCGCAAAAGAACACCGATTCCTACCAAGGATGATACGCGAGGCTATTGAAATTAAAAAACATCCAAATTTCAATAGAGAAGATGGTTGGGTGCTACCATCTGCTTGGGATCCTATAATTAACAAAATTAAACCCAAACCCAAGCATACCACTGCAAGACTTCATGATACTATAAGCTCATTTTGCGTAAATCGGACCAAAAATTAATATTAAAAAAACTGAAGGTAGCCGGACTAACTATGACATTGGGACGTCAAACATCTCAGTCCCCCCCGTGACCATGGGCGCTGTAAAGCACCCGAAACGTCGGGATAATAATAAAAATAAATTAAAGTAATTAAACGCGATAAAAATCCGTAAATAATAGTTTTATTCAATATCTACTGCCATTTATAACGTCGCGACATCTTGGCATATTAAATGTAAAAATGAGAAACAACTAAAAAGCGGTATGCAGTATATACCTTCATCCGTTATATATATATATATATATATATATATATATATATATATATATATATATATATATATATATATAACGGAGGACCGAGCTCCTTTGTGTTTTTAAAAAGTGTGACGTCACTAATGTTACCTTCATGGTGATCACTCATCTTCAATTTTCTAATGAAAACACTACAAGTATACTGAAAGCCTCGTTTATTCGACAAACAGCGTAACGACGTATTTAGAGAGTTGTGCACTGTCCGACCGCCCGAGCGAGACTGCTCTAGCACGAAAATGCTCTAGTACCGAATTATTTGAATCACCAGATATTTACATTGTAATAATCAAACAGTGATTAACTAATGGCTTATGAACTATTTTTAACACAATCAAATTATTCAGGTATAATGATTAATCCTTATTATAATCGTGACGAACATTGTTCCGATATATATATATATATATATATATATATATATATATATATATATATATATATATATATATATATATATATATATATATATATTCTATGAGAGCGTGGTCCCTCCCCAATTTTGGGTCAATATTGAAAGCTCCCCGGTAAAACCGACTCATCTTTACTACAAACATAACTTAGCTGCAGCATGGCTAGACCACGTTGATCTATGTAATGTATGATGAATCTATTTAATAGATTGCACATAGTATAGGTAGATGAAAATATTGTAATATAAAATATACAATGAAACTATTAATTATTTCTTCCCACAGGTACACGGAGACAGATTCAAGACCACTCACACCGGCACCAACGCTTGCGAGCGGCAAGTCCAGAGGGTCGCGGAGGTGTCTGACGCCAGATCAACCACACCAGAGAACCACCATCGTTCTTGATCTGCGCCGAAGTCATAGCCAGGTAGGAGCGAGGCGTATTTATCGTAACAAAAAAAAACAACGAGTTTTCTAGAAATAACACATTGAAACAGTCTAAACTTAAATAAACTGGTCCTCTTCCTACGAGTAGAGCGACAAATGTTTTTGAAAACATGGCTGTATACAGCTATATCCCTAGGGATAATAACTATATCACAACTAACTATCTTATTGCGATATATTACCTATATATAATTTTTCTGTCCATTTGTATGTGACTGAACTCCTCCTAACGACCTGGATCGATTTTGATAAAATTTTCTGTGTGCTTAAGTTGATTAGAGAATGGTTGAGATTTGTACGATTGGGCCCGGTAGGTGGCACTGTTGTCAAGATCCAGAAATCACCCGTGCGTCCTGGGTTATAAAGCGCTACTTACTACTTATCGCTAGTATATTATAAAGCTTCGAATGTATTACCATCAGGTTAATAGCATTTTTCAGTTCAACAGTTTTCGCAATCTTCAATGAAAAAAATGCGAGACTGCAAAGTCAAAAGAAAACATATTATACAAACCTGCTTTACCCCAAAGACTTACTGTAAACATTTTCCCTTATCTAAACCCATTGACCCAGATGTAAGTGTGTCTTTAAATGTAGCTTATATTACTAGTAAGTTCTTGATACCAAAAACATTAAATATAAATTAGCGCACAGTCTACCTAGTGGTAAATGGAATGCGGTAGCATGGTGGCAACTCCTGGGGACTAAGATGAAACCAGGATACACTTCAACACCAACAAACAGGGTTTTCGATTCTCATTACTAACGTTTTTTTTAATATAGAATAAGGATGAAAAACGAGCACACAGTCCACGCATATGGTAAGTGGATGCTGTGAAACATAAACATCTACATTTATCCTCGATTAGGAATTAAAACGCAGTTGCGTTGTCACCCGTGAGGACTGAGATGGAATGCCTCGTTTCCAGTAAAAAGGGTCTCTTGATCTCTACACTCACTATACGAAACACAGGCTGATATTTTACGCTGGTACTCTGTGAGAGCGCGGTCCCACCCCGGTAGAGCCGACCCCGTGCTACAACCATAATATAGCTGCAGCGTGGCTCTAATACTGTTACGAGCATAGGTTCGTGACAATAAAAACTGCCGATTGAATTACCAAAATTGACACTTTAATTGCCGTACACCAATTAAAACATAAAAGACACTAATAATTAAGCACACTTAACTCTTTAGTTCAATTTATTTCGCTCCGTAGTCTTCATTTGTATCGCCCATTCAATACTGCCTCGGTCGCGGCCCTCAACGCCATTATATAGGACCTTTTCCTCTGAAACATCCCGATTATTTGAGTACCTACCGGTCCCAACCGCCTAGTGTAGACAGTTCTCTCCTAGTTCTGCCATTCGATACTAGATGCCACTTGAGGGAAAGTTCTAGCATGGCATTTTCAAGAAAGCTCTCTTAATGCCTGCTACTCGATACAAGAGGGCGCTAGTGGCATTTACCGGCACGTTACGTACGTTACCTAACTGGACATTTTTCACTACTAACTACCATTTTCTGTAATGTTAGTGCTATTAGATAGTTGGCTTTTACAGCTTCATCAGACCAATCAGACTCAGGGTTCATAATCTGTAAAGGCCGCGAGCTATATCAAAACGGGGACTGACGATGAGGTTGATGACTCAGTTCGTGATTGAAAGTCAGATCTCCCGTACACATGAACCAGAGTACAGATGAATTATCTAACCGCCGTCCGAACAAGGGTGTGCTAATACGCGTGTAGTGAGGAGAGGGGCTTGTCGCGCCCATATTGGAAACTTGACGGTGTGGAAGCAAAAATATAATTTCGATCCTGCCGACTTGATCAAACTTGCAGCGGCATGTAAACTTGAACGTGTGTGTGAGTGGTCAAGTATACATGACGTTCGTCGGAGCAGTAAGCGACACTATGGTTTCAACTGGTGTAACATCATGCAAACTTGACGGCGAATTTGAACGTAAGTGGTATATGGATGCACTGAAAACTGGACACCGCGCCGCTTCAAGCACGCAGCAAACTTGATAGTCTTCAGTGCTGCATGTCCCATCCGTAGTACTAATTGTGTTTAAAATACTACGTGAGGGTGTAGTGCCATTTTGTGACGGGCTTGCAATGTTTGGGGCGACAAAATCGGGCGAAACTGGGGGGCATTAATAGTTACATTTACCAATCTATTCGCTAAAAAATTGTGGTCATTCATCTTTAGGATGAAATTACATATATTACCATATCTATTGATTATTTTTTTTTACATTATCATAAATTGATATCAATATATTTACATAAGCAAACACATGAGAACGTATACTTCATAGAACACAGCAACGCAACGTTTACTTCACACAACCACAGAATAAATAATAGTATTAACGTAACGCATCACAACGCGTCAAATTGCAAATGATCAACAGCGAGCGCCGATAGACATTTTCATGTTTGGGACTGATTGGGAAAGGAGCTCTTTGTAAATGTTCGTATTAACGTTTTAAACACAAAGTATAAAAATAGACATAAATGAATGAGAAGTGCGGCATTTAATACTGGAACTTACTACACAGTTAACCATACAGTTTGTGTGATAACTATAAAACATTGTGTTGAGCAACTGTAATTATGTCATAGCGTATCATATGGTGAAGACATACTCATATGCAATACGATAATAAACTAACACATTATTGCATTTATTCACAGCTGTTCCAGCCTATTGACTCATGATACGCAAAAGTATGTCTTCACCCTTAAAACGATACTAACATTTAACAGGCTTGTGTTAAACAATTAACTATTTAAGGTTCATATTTGGATCGTCAATCATCATCATCACTATCATTGCAGCCCATTGCTAATCCACATTTTATATTTGCGGTTTTCTCTTCTCCTTGATCCTTCTTCTTCTGTTCGCTTCTTATCATTATTATGCTTGTTATAATCTTTTAAGAACTATATTATTACGAGCTTAGGGTTCGTGGCAATAAAAACTGCCGATTGAATTACCAAAATTAACACTTTAATCACCGAACACCAATTAAAACTTAAAAACACTAATAATTAATCACACTGATTCACTTTCTTTCGCTCCGAAGCTTCGTTTGTCTCGCCAAATTCAATACTGACCCGACCGCGTCTTGCAGCTGCTTTAAATACACATTTTTCACCTAAACGTCCAGAATATTCAAGTAAATACGCGCGCCAACCGACCAGGTGCAGAAAGTTCGAGTGTGGGGCTTCCAGAAAGCTTAATTCTTCTGTTCGATACTAGATAGCGCTGTTGGTCGAAAGATTGGTCATGTCATTTTCTGGCAAGCTCTCCTCGCTTTGTTACACGACACTAGATGGCGCTAGTGCCAGACGTCAACTTAGGCGTGCAACAATATATTGACATTAAAAAACACTCCCAACAAATTCGTCTTTAAAAATCAAGTCCGTAAGTATATGATTAAACCGTTGCAAGTTTGAATTAACTCAGCTCTTTATTTTCGTATATATTTCATATTTGTTCTGACCATTGACTTATTACTATATATTACTTTGACATAGATAATATTTATACGAACCTATTTTGTATATATATATATATATATATATATATATATATATATATATATATATATATATATGCCGGACGGGCGCGAAACTCTTCGGAGTAAATGTTGTCGAAGATACTTCGCGAGTCGCTCACCTCCTACACCTATAGGTTCCGGAGGATACTTCCACTGCCGTCTTTGCCGCTGAGATATTGTAGATTGAGGTTCAAATCAAAATGCACGATTTATAAATACAAATAGCAAGGTAGTGCCCAGCGGTTCGACTGATTGATTAGTCGCGAAATTTTATAACTATTGTTTATTGACCACGGTTGTTCAATACGGTTGTTCACTATTGGTTGGTCACTGTATATATTTAGAAGATTTCTTTAAATTGTACGGTTAGTATCAAATATCTACTGGTAGTAGCTGCTTTTATAACACTACTGACTAGCAGCTATTATCAACTAAACTAGCTGATTTTATCACTTGTGTAACTGCGGATATCAGTTACCACTTTTACTATATGTAACTGCGAATATCAGTTACGACCTTTTTCGGCTAGCTAACACTTTTACTATTCACTATATACTGCTACTAGTCACTTCAGCTACTACCGGATACTACTGCTTGTCACTGGTAGTTCTTCACACTACTACCCTAAGTTAAGTTAAGTTAAGTTGATGTCTTCTGCACGTACCTAAGTACGTGCAGGTATCGGGCCTCGGGGTATACCCCATTACCCGGGTATCCTCATACCCCATGACTATGGGGCAGTCACTTATTGCCTATCTTGGCGTGGTTATGCTGCATTATAAAATGTAGCCGGATAAGAAATTTACTTTCCGTAGTTCACCGACTACGGAAAGGGAGGTAATCTATAGAGGTTAATCTATAAGTCTAAGTTGGCCTTTCTGCGGCATTGTGGGTTGTTACTCGACTCTCTAATCACATATAGAGAGGAGTTCTCCTGGAAGAGGTCGCCCGTCCGGTGGCCGGGTGTGTAACGGCGCGAAGCCGTTCAGGTGTTCATGTGGCCCGTTATCGGCACGGTCAAACATGCCGCGCGCTAACCGAGCCACGAAGTCGGTGATGGTCTCGACTTTCAGATCGGCCGCTATGACGTCATTCCGGACGTAACGACCTGCTCCGACAATCGTCCTTAATGACAGGTTCTGCTGAGCCTGTAATCGCCGCCTCTGGGTGTCACTCAGAAGCGCGTACCAGGCCGGAGCAGCGTAGGTGGTAATAGTCCGGATATACATCTTGTATATCCGGAGTCTTGGTCTTTATGGGCAGCTTGGATGCCAGGACCGGACGAAGCATCGCCCGCGCACATCTGGCTTTGCGGACGACGAAGTCGACGTGCGCAGTCATGCGCAGCGCCCGGTCGATCCGGCACCCGAGGTATGTCACGGCCTTCTCGTACGCGATCTTCTGGCCGTCG